CTTTCTTCAGTCTCTCCTTGCCCTCCGGGGCTGGGGGTGGAGGCAGTTTCACATTTCACCAGGGAAGCTCCTGTGGTTTTGAAACACCGCATCTAAATTTAAGTCCTAAATTTAACTGAACAGGGGACCCCACCTGCCCCAATTTCAGTAATAACTAAGCTAAACGTTTTTACATTCCAAAGCAGAACATTGCAATTCTCATTGTTTGCCATTATGAATTAATTTTAATAGATAAAACCCTTTTAGGGTTTCTTTATAATAAATAGTATTTATTGGTGAGTTAGGACATTCAAATACGTGAGCACAGCCTGTGATATGTGTTTTGGTGAACAGCAGACTCTAGCCCTGGGTTTGAGCTTCACCCAGCTCAGCAACTTTCAAGTTTCCAAAGTTTTTCACATACAGAATTTTGGTCCTCACAAAAATCCTGTATGTATGAAGGTGAATGAGGCATTAATACAGTGCTTGGCACATGGTAAACATTCCACAAATAATAGCTACTAGTAGCTATTTTCATACAAATACTTAACTTTTCAAAAGATTTTTGAGTCCTAGTTCAAATTAACACCAAGAGTTCTTGGTTTCTTTCTTGGCCTTATAGCAAAATCATCCTCATATTGTCCTGTAGATAATAATTTCCTACTTAGACATAAACCTTTATTGACTGCACTGAAGTGGTCATTTTCAGCAGTATGTAAACCCTCCCAAGGGGTTGAGATATAATCTTGATTTTCCTGTGTGATAGGGAAAGTTAAAATGCCTTCTCATTTCTGAAATTGCCAGATTCTTACTAAGTATGAACACTAGTACACACAGAAAATATTCAGAAATGTGCGGACTCCAGAAGGACAAAATTTTAAAAAAAACAACCCTTTTTAGTTATAACTGTTAGAGGTTTACACATTAATAAAAATGCTTTCCCCTGTATTTAGACTTGCTACAAAACACTATAGGCTTGGGGTATAAGACTTGGTTATGGATAGAAAGAGAGAAGACTGAACGTGTGTTCTCCTGGAGGAGGAATTAGTGATATGGCTACTTTATACCTTCTCTAGGGCAGACACCACTGAATTATATGCACCAGTAGATCTATTTACAAGCCTATTTTTTATATCAACTTGGAAGCAGGCCCCATTTCACATGAAAATCTAAATGTCAAAAGTCTAGGTAATTTTCATTCTCGACACTCCTCTAAAGTTGATTATCTTTTTTATTATAATACCACAGAGGACACTTTAGGTCAGAAATGAAGCAATATACCCACATACAGTTTATGAAATGACACTAACCTTCTATTTCTGATTCACCTTCCTTTACTGCCTCATGTTTTTTTGGTAAAGAATGCTTCCAAAGGTTCCATTTCTAATCAAAATTTTTCATATCACTACTAAGAGGCTAAATATCTTTTTTTAATTCATTGATTTATAACAGCATAGAATTTTCTTATAGCTGGTTCAGTCATGCTGAGATTTGTGGCCAAAGTTTCCGCCATCTGGAAAGGTGTTGATCGGGCCCTGAGTGTATGCAACAGTTTACATAATGTCATTATGTTCAATTTTCTTAATTTTTACTTTATCAATTCAATATTCTTTATATGTTTTTTAAAATTCTTATAATTTGTATTTGTTTGCTAAGGCTGCCATAACAACCGAAGTACTACAACCTGTGTGGCACAAACAACAGATAGTTTTTGTAGGCTTTTTTTTGTTGTTTTTGGCCATGCCGCGTGGCTTGTGGGATCTTAGTTCCCTGACTAGGGATCGAACCCATGGCCCCTGCAGTGGAAGCACGGAGTCCTAACAACTGGACCACCAGGGAATTCCCACAACAGATAGTTTCTGTCTCATAGTTCTGGAGGCTAGAAGTCTGAGATCAAGGTGTCAGCAGAGTTTATTCTTTCTAGGGGCTGTCAAGGAGCATCTGTTCCATGCCTCTCCTCTAGCTTCTGGTGGTTTGCAGTAATTTTTGGCATTCCTTGACTTGTATAAGCAGCACCCCAATCTTTGCCTTCATTGTCACATGATGTTCTCCCTGTGGGGGTATCTGTGCCCATACTTCCCCTTTTTATAAGGATACCAGTCACATTAGATTAGGGCCCACCCTAATGACTTCATCTTATCTAATTACATCTGTAATGACCTATTTCCAAATAAGGTCACATTCTCAGCTACTGGGGTCAGGACATATGAATTTTGGGGAGACACAATTAAACCCCTAGCAGACATATATATATACCTTGCTACATACGAAAGTTTTTAGCATTTCATTAGTATACTTACATTTGCTTTCCTCATGTCTGTTTTCATAAGATGAAAACAAGTTTCTTAAGACCATCAACAATATGGAACAATATAATAGTTAGATAGAAATACTAAGGTTAAATCACTTCAACCAATGGTTCAATTACAGACCCTCTAGTTTATGCTCAGCCACCCTTACCTAGCATCTTTTGGTTTTTGGTTGCTGTTTTCTAACAGTAGACATACATAGATAGACACTGCCTCCTGATAAATTTTATAAAAATGAAATAACATGTACAGCCTCTAGCTCTGTGTACAGCTCGCTGGTTTTGGTTATCAAGTTTAAACAATAACAGCTCTGTGATATGCAGCAAGTGGGACTACTTAAGCCTGTTTCACAAGTATTGACAAGCAGGGTAGCAAATAGGTTTCATTTCTCTCTTAGTGCCAGCTCTAGTCAATTGGTAAATTGAATTACTAACCAGCTTAATTGAAGATTCTAATGCCCAGGAAATAGCAGGTTACGGTAGATTCTTAATGTTTGCTATTAGCTGGGATATAAGAGGTAGTTTAGTCATCACATGACCCATCACCCTGGCTCTAAGTCACGATAAAGCACCCAAGATAATCCAAGTCCCCCAAAGACAACTGTAACCTAGATTGAGGTGTTACAATTATTCTGTCCCTCAGATCCTGCTTCCCCCTGATTTCTTGTTTATGAATTATCTTCCTGCCCCCATACTATCTAATGTCCTACTAATACTAACAATCTCTGTCCCCACTTGGTTGGCTCTTGAAAATCAGCATTGTTTGAAAATCATTCTTTGGTTTGTCTCTCTCGACTTTTGCGCCAACTATCTTCCAGGTGCTACAGTCTGGAAGTAAATTAGGTTCTGTGAGTCAAAGGCCTTTTCTTAAGATTCCAAAGGCAGAAATACAGTGAGCTCCATATTCCTGAAACTCTCAGCTGTAGCCGCTGTCAAGAAAAGTCATGGAAATATAAGATCGTTCTTCCTACACCAGCATTCCAGTGTCCATTCTTTGGTTCCATGAATTGAGAGGCGGGTTTGGTGAGAGCGGGGGTTCTTGCTTCCAGCAAGGCTGCATTAGAGGCCTCAGACTCAGTGGCTTGCCTAGTGGGACAGTGATGCAGTCTTCCTAAAGATGTTTCTGGAAACCCAACCTAGCACACTTCCTTAAGCCTAATTATATTTAAAGCACCAATTTTGGGGAAGTAAACTTCTTTCTGCCTCAGACACATAGAGGGTTATTCATAATTAACAGTAGATTTAAATGAATATGAGGGATGGGGCAGAGTCATGAAAAGTTTATGGCAATTTCAAACTGAGCATTAGGCATTAGACTTTGGACATCTTTATTATTTTCTTTGGATTAATTCCTTGTGGGATTTTTCATTGGATACTTTACACCAGGTAAAATCCCAGCCACATGCAATCTCACCCCTCCTTTCTAGATTGTTTCTGACTTTCCAAATTCTCCCTAATTGCAGAGAAACTCACTCTCCTCATTTCCCAACCCAAACCTAGTTCTCAGGCCCATTTGGTATATCCAAACCGACCAGCATGCACAGCAACTCAAAATAATTTCTGTAACAGGAACCACTCTCTTATATGGCAGTGGTGCTTATACACAACTTTTTCATTCATTAGATAACAGTAGTTGATATGGAAGCCAACGGAACAAGAGCTGATATGTCACATGAGAAGTTTAAGGTGTGACCATATGGTGTTATCAGAGAATATCAAAGTTCCTCCATCACATGACATAACAATAGCATTATGTTCTTCCCAAAGCGGTACCACTGGGAGCAGAATGAAAAGCCAAGTCAGTATCCAACAGCCTGTTTGCTCTCTCTCCCTCTCATCTCCAGCCCTCAGCTATGGAAATCGATCCTGCCTGGGCACTTCCAATATGAATATACAAGTCTTTTTTTCAATCCAATGTTGTTTTTCCCAGTGGTTATTTCAACGGTTATGTTTCTTTCTATCTGTTCCTTTTTCGCCATTCTAGAATCTCTATTCTCCATATTTCAGAACTCCTGATGCTGCCTCCAAATCTTGCAGCTTCTTCCCCGTGATTTCATTCTCTTTGTATTTTTGCTGTTTTACAATGTGTCTTCTACTTGACCCTCCAGGGTGGTCTCTATAGTGACTAATCTTTCCTCAATTCATACACTCAGTTTTTTGGGGGTTTTTTTGCGGTATGCGGGCCTCTCACTGCTGTGGCCTCTCCCGTTGCGGAGCACAGGCTCCGGACGCGCAGGCTCAGCGGCCATGGCTCACGGGCCCAGCTGCTCCGCGGCATGTGGGATCTTCCCGGACCAGGGCACGAACCCGTGTCCCCTGCATCGGCAGGCGGACTCTCAACCACTGCCTCACCAGGGAAGCCCCATACACTCAGTTTTTAAATTTAAAAATTATCAGATTTTTAAGTTTCAGAAAGTCTTATAAAGCTATAATAGAATCTCTTCGAGCCTTCTTTTAAAACCTTTTGTTGTGGTTATTCTAACCATCATCTGTCTCCTCTAACAGTTTTATTACTATACTAGAAGCTTTCCTATTCTTTTTATCCATTATGTTTCTCTTTCTCTCTCTCTCTCTACCTCTCTCTCTCTCTCTCACTGTCTCTCTCTCTCTCTCCTTGTTCTATCTCAAAGACACTGCTGCTGGGTCCCCTTAGATTGTGATGATTTCCTTAGCATACCCATGAGTTTATTTACATAACAAGCTACTAGGGTACCTGGGAGTGATGGAAACCCACAAGTGGTAGGAAGTACTGCTCTTCACAGACAGGGACATGAAACTGGAAACTCTTCAGTTCTTTCTGCAAACACAGGAAAAAGCTTGATTGCTGATCTCTGACATAAGGAGGATCAAGGCCTCTCCAAAGATTTGACAATGAGCAGGTCTTCCTATAATGACAATGAATGGAATGACAGGGATCTTCCTCTGAGGGATCCACAGAACTCAGAGGTACAATCTTTCTTCAGGAACAAAAGAATTCAGAATTTCCTCCCAGGCCAACTGCCAGGCCCAGAATCAAGAACCATCCTAAACATCCAGCCCCTGGAAAGGTCAGAGTGTTCCCACACACCCTGCAGTCTAAGCACCTGTTTCTCTATAGAGACAGAGTTGATAGTTGGATTAGAGTTGAGAGTGGATGTGTCAGGCCACCATATCATCAGAATTCTGATCACTCTGAGGCAGATGGAAGAGATGAAAACAAAGGAGACAGGTAAGATAGATGGAAACAGGGCTTCCCTCGTGGCGCAGTGGTTGAGAGTCCGCCTGCCGATGCAGGGGACACGGGTTCGTGCCCCGGGTCTGGGAAGATCCCACATGCCGCGGAGCGGCTGGGCCCGTGAGCCATGGCCACTGAGCCTGCGTGTCCGGAGCCTGTGCTTCACAACGGGAGAGGCCACAGCAGTGAGAGGTCCGCGTACCGCAAAAAAAAAAAAAAAAAAAAAGATAGATGGAAACAGCCAATATTATTTGATTTATGCCTTATCACTCTCCACAAAAGATTTAATATGACTTAATGGCAGAGTATGAAATAAAACAGCAAAATGTAAATAGAGATTAAAAATAAGAACCAAGCAAAACATAACTTAGAAGAGGAGATCTAGACAAGGAAAAACAAAATAAGTAACTCTGACCTTGAGCTGGATTAATGGACAGATAAGCCAGGAGGTTGCTTGGGACACTGATGTCTAATGAATAATAAAACATCACTGGGAAAAAGTCACACAACGTAAATTGGTCCCACTCCCATTAAAGTAGACAGAATGGAATTAAAATTCAAAACACCCCTTACTGTGCTACTTTATCTCTTTTTTTCCTTCCAGTTTTACTGAGATATAATTGACATACAGCACTGTAAGGTATACAGCATAATAATTTGACTTACATACATCATGAAATTATTCCACAATAAGTTTAGCAAACATCCATCATCTCATATAGATACAAAATGAAAGAAAAAGAAAACAAATTTTTTCTTGTGATGAGAACTCTTGGGATTTACTCTCTTAACAACTTTCATGTATAACACACAGCAATGTTAGTTATATTTATCATGCTATACGTTACATCCCTAGTACTTATTTATCTTAAAGCTGGAAGTTCATACCTTTTGACTGCTTATATCCAATTTCCCTTCCTCCAACCCCTCACCTCTGGTAACCACAAATATGATCTCTTTACTACTTTATCTTTTGAATATTTTCCCCCTACCCATATATAATTTTAGTGAGTTAGATGTCAGCAAAGTGAGCTAAGGTTCTAAAAACAACTAAAGCCAGACATAGGTCTGCTTATGAGGGTGAGTAGTTCAGTTTACTAAAGTAAAAAACTGTACTTCTAAGAAGTTGTCTTGGAACTCTATAGCATCTACAAGTTAAAAATATTATAACAGGAAAATGCAAAGATAAGAACTAGATAAATAGAAAATAGTTTGACAAATATTTTAGATAGTATTAATGCCTACCTCCTATATTGTGCTTTGAAGATACTGTATGTTTTACAAATTGAAGGTTTATGGCAACTCTGCACAGTCACAGATGATGGTTAGCATCTTTCAGCGATAAAGTATTTTTTAATTAAGGTATGTAATTGTTTTTTAGTCATAATGCTACTGTACACTTAGGAGGCTGCTGTATAGTGTTAACATAACTTTTATATTCACCAGGAAATGAAAAAACTCATCTGACTGGCTTTATTGCAATATTCACTTCATTGCGGTGGTCTGGAACTGAACCTGCAATATTTCCATGGGATGTCTGTATATGATTCTGCCCGTCATAACTTCTTAGAAAAAAGTTTCTCCTCACCTCCACTGTATAAAAGTTTAAAATATATTTTTAAAATTTCTGTCTGAAAAAGATCAAGTTTTTAACTGCCTATCAAATTCTACATCTCAGTGTGGCCTTACATGTAGCCCATTCACTAATAAACCTTTTTTTTTTTTTGCATTACGTGGGCCTCTCATTGCTGCAGCCTCTCCCGTTGCGGAGCACAGGCTCCGGACGCGCAGGCTCAGCAGCCATGGCTCACGGGCCTAGCCACTCCACAGCACGTGCGATCTTCCCGGACAGGGGCACGAACCCGTGTCCCCTGCATCGGCAGGCAGACTCCCAACCACTGCGCCACCAGGGAAGCCCCACTAATAAACCTTTTTAAAGCAGTTCTTCTAACCCAGTTTTACCTTTTTCCAGAAAAGAGAATCTTGACTATAATAATAATGTATGATCTACCTCATTCAAGTACCTATCTATAAAAATACCTAGATTTTTAAATTCATATCATTTGAAGGAAAAAATGGCTTAATTGAGAACTACTAATCATGTTCTTCGAAATGAAGAAACTGTACTTATTAAAATACAGTTAACTTGAACTTTCTCTAAATAATTCTACAATTTTACCCTGAATTGACATATACAACTTTCTCTAAATAAATCTACAATTTTATCCTGATATTAACGAAAAGTTCCTTCTCAATAAGAAATTAATCTCCCTTACCCAGCCTGGCCAGGAGAACAGACTCTGTGTTGGTCTCGTCTGGATTTATCATCTTCCAAATTCTACTAGTAACCTTGTAATTTAAGCCTGTAATACATTTAACATATTATTCTGAGACTCTGCAAAAGCACAAGGTTCACTGAAATGAACAAAACTTTAATAACTGCTTTTGGTGGATGACAACTTTCTCTAATATGCTTTGTATTAATGGTCATTTCTTTCTGCAAACTTAGCTCTAAGCTCTTTGTTTCTTTTTACCATCATGATTATCCTTCTGTGTTTCTGTTCTCTACTCTGGGTGGAGCCAAGAGCTCCTATGGTAAAAAGAGACATATCTCTATTGGGGTCCAAGCAGAAAACAACTAACCCAGAGGGCACAGAAAACCTGCAGTGTCACTACTTTTGAAACACATTTGAGGAGCTCCATTTGCTGCAATATCTCAAAGCTGTTATTGTTGAATAATTTAATACCCCAAATCGCATGGGCTGCATACAGAGCTGCACACCACAAGCACTGTTTCATGTTTATAGAATAATATTTAAAGTCCTTTCTCACAGCCTCCCTCATTTGATGGCTGACACAACCCTGGGAAACAGGTAAATAAGACATAATTATTACAATTTTATAACTGAGGAATATGAGAGTCTTAAATCTGTAAGTGATGGCAAAAATCATAGCCCCTAAAGTCAGATTCTAATTCCAGTGCATTCACTTGGTGTGAGCTCTTCATCCATTCATCTTAGTTTCCTCCAATCTCTTAAACCAGTTGTGAGGATTAAATGGGATCAGGGATGAAAAGCACTGGTATGCTAATGGCATTTTACTACTCGATGTCCAATAAATAGCATGAATCTCCCTTTTTCCCTTCCTCAGAGATCTGGGTCTGACCACTCAGCCAATAAATGGCAAAATTCAGAAGAGAATCCAACTTTCTGACTCCTGAGCAAGTAGAAAAATATCAGCTCAGGGCCCACAAGTCCCTTGGAAAATTATGCTTTATGACTTGTCCATAATGTGAAAATTTCTCTCCAGATCCAAGTTTTGTGCAGCCTGTCACTTAATTTGGAAGCTCTTTAAGAATACAAAACTGAGAATATCAGATTAGGGTATAAAAGTGGTATTTATTTAGAAGGAGAAAAGAAGTCACAACAAATTATAAGTTTTAAAAAGCCTAAATTTCTCTTTCTGATTTTTGTTGTTAGTGTATAGGAATGCCAGAGATTTCTGTGCATTAATTTTGTATCCTGCAACCTTACCAAATTCATTGATTAGTTCTAGTAGTTTTCTGGTGGCATCTTTAGGATTTTCTATGTTTAGTATCATGTCATCTGCAAACAGTGACCGTTTTACTTCTTCTTTTCCAATTTTTTATTTCTTTTTCTTCTGTGATTGCCATGGCTAGGACTTCCAAAACTATGTTGAATACAAGTGGCAAGAGTGGACATACTTGTCTTTTTACTGATCTTAGTGGAAATGCTTTCAGTTTCTCACCACTAAGTATGATGTTTGCTGTGGGTTTGTCATATATGGCCTTTATTATGTTGAGGGAGGTTCCCTTTATGCCTATTTTCCGCATCTGTTGAGATGATCATATGGTTTTTATTCCTTAATTTGTTAATATGGTGTATCACATTGATTGATTTGCATATATTGAAGAACCCTTGCATCCCTGGGATAAATCCCCCAATACCATTTACCACTGCAACAAAAAGAATAAAATATCTAGGAATAAACCTACCTAAGGAGGCAAAAGACTTGTATTCAGAAAACTATAAAACACTGATAAAAGAAATCAAAGACGACATAAACAGATGGAGAAATATAACATGTTCTTGGATTGGAAGAATCAATATTGTTTAAATGACTATACTGCCCAAAGCAATCTACAGATTCAATGCAATCCCTATCAAACTACCAATGGCATTTTTCACAGAATTAGAACCAAAAATTTTACAAGTAATATGGAAATGCAAAAGATCCCGAGTAGCCAAAGCAATCTTGAGAAAAAAAAAAAAAAACGGAGCTGGAGGAATCAGGCTCCCTGACTTCAAACTATACTGCAAAGCTACACAGTAAGTAAGACAGTATGGTTGGTACTGGCACAGTAACAGAAATATAGATCAACAGTACAGGATAGAAAGCCCAGAGATAAACCCACACACATATGGTCACCTAATTTATGACAAAGGAGGCTAGAACATACAATGGAGAAAAGATAGCCTCTTCATTAAGTGGTGCTGGAAAACTGGACAGCTACATGTAAAAGAATGAAATTAGAACATTCCCTAACACCATACACAAAAATAAACTTAAAATGGATTAAAGACCTAAATGTAAGACCAGACACTATAAAACTCTTAGAGGAAAACACAGGAAAAACACTCTTTGACATAAACCACAGCAAGATCTTTTTTGACCCACCTCCAAGAGTAATGGAAATAAAAACAAAAATAAACAAATGGGACCTAATGAAACTTCAAAGCTTTTGCACATCAAAGGAAACCATAAACAAGACAAAAAGACAACCCTCAGAATGGGAGAAAATATTTGCAAATGAAACAATGGACAAAGGATTAATCTCCAAAATATACAAACAGCTCATGGAGCTCAATATCAAAAAAACAAACAATTCAATTAAAAAATGGGCAGAAGACCTAAATAGATATTTCACCAAAGAAGACATACAGATGGCCAAGAGGCACGTGAAAAGATGCTCAACATTGCTATTGTTAGAGAAATGCAAATCAAAACTACGCTATCACCTCACACTGGTCAGAATGGCCATTATCAAAAAAATCTAGAAACAATAAATGCTGGAAAGGGTGTGCTGAAACAGGAACCCTCCTGTGCTGTTGGTGGGAATGTAGATTGATACAACCAACATGAAGAACAGTATAGAGTTTACTTAAAAACCTGAAAACAGAGCTACCATATGACCCAGCATTCCCACTACTAGGCATATACCCTGAGAAAACCATAATTCAAAAAGAGACATGTACCACAATGTTCATTGCAGCACTATTTCCAATAGCCAGGACATGGAACCAACCTAAATGTCCATCAACAGGTGAATGGATAAAGAAGATGTGGCACATACATACAATGGAATATTACTCAGCCATAAAAAGAAATGAAACTGGGTTATTTGTAGTGAAGTGGATGGATCTACAGTCTGTCATACAGAGTGAAGTAAGTCAGAAAGAGAAAAACAATTACTCAGCCATAAAAAGAAACGAAACTGAGTTATTTGTAGTGAAGTGGATGGACCTACAGTCTGTCATACAGAGTGAAGTAAGTCAGAAAGATAAAAACAAATACCGCATTTTAACATATATATATGGAATCTAAAAAAAGAATAAAATGGTACTGATAAACATAGTGGCAGGGCAGGAATGAAGATGTAGACATAGAGAATGGACTTGAGGACACAGCTGGGGAAGGGGAAGCTGGGGAGAAGTGAGAATAGCATCGACATATATACACTACTGAATGTAGAATAGTTAGCTAGTGGGAAGCAGCCGCATAGCACAGGGAGATCAGCTCGGTGCTTTGTGACCACCTAGAGGGGTGGGATAGGGAGGGTGGGAGGGAGGCTCAAGAGGGAGGGGATCTGGGGATGTATGTATGCATATGGCTGATTCACTTTGTTGTACAACAGAAACTAACACAGTATTGTGAAGCAATTATACTCCAATAAAGATCTATTTTTTAAAAAAAGCCTAAAAATGAAAACATTACAAAACCAAAAAGATAACATATCTATCAACTAACAAAAACACCTCTATAATACCTTTTTCCTCCATTTTTTGCATACTCTGACCACTTCTTCCTATAATCATTTTGACACATTTTCCAATACAGAGTCTAGCAGAATATGTCATTGTTTTCTTCTAGCACAGTTGATTGCTTCATTTTATTGCAGACAATTTTACCTGCAGTTTGGTCTGAAACTGCCAACTTAGGCAAGATATATCAGATATTCTAAGGTGCCATCTGATGTGCTGGAGTACATAAAATATGCAACTTCAGTTGGCCCTACTGCTATAGATTTGTGTCCTATAAACACAGTAATTCTGATCAATTCTATTTCATGTATATCCCACACACACAAAAAAAAGATGGAGTGTTACTGACTAGAAAGAACTTCTGCTTTAATTAGGTATCAATACGAACTGAATCCTCCATTTACAATTTTACATGTCTGATAGTTGAGAGAATTTTCCATGGACTAGTTTCTGGCTCCATACATTCCAAGCTTTGTTTCACCCCTTTTCCTACCAACGTACTTCTGGAGCTAGTTTATATCATGATACTGTGGCTTTAGGTGAGGATGCCAGATGAGCATATAGATAGGGAGCAGAGGTGTGTCCCTGTAAACTATGTGAACACTAGAACACCTATCAATAACTTAGGTATATACTAAAGTGACTGCAAACTACACAACTTATCTCATAAATCCCTTAGCCAGATCCCCAAAATGCATACAGTCCCTCCAAGGCCACGTACCATGAGAGAAAGCATGTCAGAGGAAAATTTGGAGTAGAGAAAATAGTCTTAACCGATTGCTATTAAAATATTACATATTTTTTCAAATTTACAAAACATATGACCATTAGAACCCACTGCTAGGGCCCCTCCTTGCAGGGCTTGAGATGGGGCTAGTGCAAGTGAGGGGCCCTGGGGCTTCAGCTTCAAAGGAAATCCAACTCTGCACAGATCCGTCCCCAAAGCAATGCCAGAGAGCCAACTTAATCAGATGGCTCCATTTTTGTTCATAAGAGGCAAAATACTTCTAGGATTCTCAAGCAGCTTAAAAAGATAAGTTAACTCCTTACAAAGGCTACCTTTATGCCCCTTCTATTTTATTCTCTTGGACCAGTCTTGCTGCTTTGAAAAACCTGAGGAACATCTAGGCAAAGAAAAGCAAAGGATTCATAGCCGGAAAGAAAACATGTCTATGTATTGGTTGTTCACCCTATGACATTTTGACACCTGAGAACATTTTAGAACATTTTAGCTCTAACCCTAACTTTGATTTGCCCATGTTGTATTACCAATTCAGATTCACTTTAACCCTGAAAACACCAAGCTGAAAAGATTCTGTAGCACCTAGCCACAGATTGTTTCTATTCTGACTTGTTTTCATTTCACCATGGATCTCTGAGCAGTCACTGAGCTAATCCAATTTTCAGGCCCATTAATCTGGAATTTGAACTCAAAGGAGAGACGATGCAGCTCCCTGATGGGTTGGCAGGGCAGAAGCAACTGTGACAGCAACATCTTAAAACTTCTCCTGCTGCCTACAGATCAGTGTGCGTGCTATTTCCCCCGACCTACTTGTGGAGGTCTCCTTAAATGCCCCGGGGAAGGCAGGGGAGGCTACAGCTTGCCTTTTCCCCGTTGTTTGTCGTTAATCCTAGCAAGCCTAACCTTCAAGCATTGTGAAATGGACAATGCAGGTTTTTGGAATCTCCAGGTCTTCCACTCCAGTCTCTCCAGTTTGACCGTCAATTTCCTTTAGAATCCAGTTTTCTTTACTGTCCTTCTCCCTTCTAGTAACCTGTTTTTGAGGAAGATATGATTGAAAAGAAAACAAGAACAAAATGCCCACACTAGGGTGCAAATGAGTACATTTTAGTGTTTCACTAACGGTGTTTATGGACACTGGCTGCATATTAAAATTACCAGGGACTTTTAAAAACAATTCCAATACCTGGGCCCTAATCCAGACTAATAAAATCAGGCACTCTGGGGGTCAGGTCCAAGCATGGGGAATTTTCTATTATCTCCCCAGGTGAATCTGTTTTGTCATTTTATTTTCATGGAGAAAGGAAACAGAAGGGAAAATCTGGAGCACCATTTGCAGAATTTCAGGCAACAGAAAGCAAGGGAGATATTTTAGGGAGCAGATGGCAGAGGGTTTTTTCAGCAGCCTTAAAATCCCTGAAGTAGTCAATTTACTTCTCCCATTCATAGACAGAGACTGCTCTAAAATTGCTTTCACCTATAGCAACCACATTAGAATTAAACAGACCAATCGAAGTGCCATTATTTTGTAATAATTCAGTACCAGGACATCTGTGAAAAGCTGCTTTCATACTTCGATTATGGATTTCATCCATTGTATTTTGTGCATGTCACAAACAGTGACAGCAGATGTCATTATAGGACAGAAGTTTTTTATTTCTCTGCTATTGTTGTTTATTAACAAGCACTGTGTGAGCACCCATTGTGGAGACCTGTCCTGGGAGCCATTAGTAAATAATGGCAGAGATAATCCCTCCTTAGCTATAAAATCCTATGATTCTGAGGCAAATCTCTTCTATGAATGCTGAACACTTTAGAAAGACCTCTTAGGAGACAAAATTTTGGAGGCATCAAAGAGCAAATTATTCCGCCAAATTGTTTCCTTTCTGATCTGCCTGAAATTCCTATCTCTTCTAGATGCATCAATGTAAGTTTCACGAACTTACTTTGGAAAAGGTGACGTTACACTGTAGCACCTACTACCCCCTTGGCATATACTGGTCACCAGATCACCTAGAACAAATTCCTCATGGTTTAGAGCCCTGAGCAGGAAAAGTCTACACTAGAAAAAGGGACCAGAACAGTACAAGCTGCTCTGAGATGGCATGAACCCTGCAGGCTGGGAAAGGACATGGATGCCCAAAAGAAGAGCTGCAAGAGGATGGTCCCAGAAAGGGCAGGCGACAGGGTCAGAAGAACATGGATATCACTATCTCTGCCTACTTCCCAAGTGTTGCCTTGGCACGTTCAGGCTTTGTGTTTTCAGGACAACCTGTTGCTGGTTTGAACCTTTTTGGCTCTATGGCCTTCATGTTACTGACCATTCTCCACCGGTTTTCACCTGGCTTCTTGCAACCTGGCTCCCCCTGCTGCCTGCTCCTAGTTTCTAACTCTACCTTTCACTAGCTGCCGCCACCACTGCCTGACCCCAAATACAGGATAGGATGATGTCCCTTTAAAATGAAGTTGAAGAGTGAACCGCGGGTCATTGGGAAGCAGAAGAGAAGTAAGATACGTGGTGGTAATAGTAATAGCAATTGTATTACTAAGACACTGCATGTTTATTAGTGAATAGGTGTGTCAGCAGTGATCAGGGAATGCTCCCATTTCTAGGAATGTGTTCCTCCCTTTCTGCCTTCCTCTCAATGGGGGTATTCTTATACTATTCTCTGTCTAGAAAGAGAGTGTTCGGAGCACATGTGAAAAACTCACATAAACTCCAGTCTGAATGGAAAGATCTGGGTATGAGTGCTCTGCTAAATAGTGAGTGAGACCTGAGTCTAAATGAACACTATTAGTATTTTTATGTGGAAATTCTAAGGTTAACATAATCTGTAGAATTATGGGATACACACATATCTAAGGTATTTTTATGATGTTGCTTTTACATGCTACCTCCATTAAGAAAAATTAGCATTTGTTAGACCAACTGTCTTTATATCTTAAGACATCATTATAATCACATATTAAGAAAACATATTTATGTTCTGAAATATTCTCTACCCCAAAAGCATTAAATCATACTTGCTTTTCATTCACTACATGTAACCTGTATAAAATAAAGTTACTTGGAATGCACTGCAAAGTAGGCCAGGATTAGTGAAACAAGTCAAATTCAGAAGTTCCCAGTCAATGGTAAATGATGTTGAGAGAGTTATTTTAAATGAAAAATTGAACAATATGCCCCAGATAGTACGAAGGCTTTATCAATGAAAAAAACTTAGTCAACAGTCAATCTAAGAAAGAAATAGAGAATTTTATTCGGGCTAACCTGAGGATTATAAAGCAGGACACAGTCTTTCAGGAACTACCGAGGACTATTTCCCCACTAGAAGTCAAAGCACAGTTATGTAAGTTTTTGAGACAAAGGGTTATACATCAAAGTAACATAATGACAGTTTGCACAGTCCAACAAGGTGAGTAGTAGGTCATCATGACCCCTTACAGGATTGAGGAGGAATGTTATCTCCTAAGTAGTTATCTTGCTGGCACCAGGAGTTAATTGCTTTTTTTGGTGAGCAGGCATTCCTGTGTTTTCTAAGGGGATCTAGTTAAGGTACAATGTAGATGCACAATGCACACTAAAGAGGAGGAGACAGTGGCTCAAACAGCAGAGAAAATTTTATGTTAAATATTTCTTGTCCTGCCTTAAATATAATTTCATTTTGTCAGCTTAAATAAATATATCTCAAATCAGTCAGACTCAAAGTACTGGCTCTAATGTTCAAACTTAATTATAAATACAAATGATTTTGTGACAATCCAATTGAGATTATAAGGTTGCTGTAGCTTTAAAAAAACGTTACACTATAAAAAATCTTAGCTTTGTTTGCAGCAATACCTTGCTAAAATACAACAATAGCAATTAAACTAAAAAGAGTAAACTTTCAAGGGGAAAAATGGTATGAACTTTCTTTTTCAATGGTTATTTGAATTAGCCATGGATGGCATTGAAACAATAAGAATTTATAAGCAGACAGAAAAGATCATTTGAACTGAAAAATAATTCCTAGCATGTCATCCAAGTAAATACAGAACAGCAAAACCAAGTCCTGGATGTTTTAGTGGGTAGTCTACTTACATGGACTTACCCTAAGTACGTTTAGATCATTAAGACCAATAAAGAGTCTCTATTGTGCCCCGTACAATGGGATTTGGCAAAAAAAATTTTTTTTAATAAACAGGATTAAGATGAGTTAGTGAAGGTGGCTTTTAATCAGGCATCAGATTTAGTTAAGAAGCAAGAGTTGAAGAAACAGCAACAACAGTGATGGGCCTATCTCATTCATTTATTTATTCAATGAATGTTTTTTGAGTACTTATTATGGGTCCAGCACTATGATAAGTTCAGAGGATTTAGTGGTGTCCAAGATAGCTCTTATAGAGCTTACCCTTTAGAGAGCAGTCTTCGGCCTAGTGTATCATAGCCCTGAGAATGCAGGATCACTTTTCAATGGGTACCTGGGCATGGGTGGTTTTAAGAATATTAATTTCTAAATGTGGTATATACATATGGTATTTGAGAACGTTCTAATTTCATTCTTTTACATGTAGCTGTCTAGTTTTCCTATCACCACTTATTGAAGAGACTGTCTTTTTTCCATTGTATATTCTTGTCTCTCCTGTCATAGATTAACTGACCATAAGTGCAGGGGGTTACCACTGGGCTCTCTATTCTGTTCTGTTGATCTGTGTGCCTGTTTTTGTGCCAGTACCATACTTTTTGATGACTATAGCTGTGTAGTATAGTCTGAAGTCAGGAAGCATAACTCTTCCAGCTCTGTTCCTCTTCCTCAGGATTGTTTTGGCTATTCGGGGTCTTTTAAGTTTCTCTACAGATTTTAAAATTATTTGTTCTAGTTCAGTGAAAAATGTCATTGGTATTTTGATAGGGATTACACTGAATCTGTAGATTGCCTTGGGTAGTATGGTCATTTTAACAATGTTAATTCTTCCAATCCAAGAACATAGTATATCTTTCCATCTGTATGTGTCATCTTCGATTTCTTTCATCAGCGTCTTGCAGTATTTGGAGTACAGGTCTTTTACCTCTTAGGTAGGTTTTTTCCTAGGTACTTTATTCTTTTTGATGTGATGGTAAATGGGATTGTTTCCATTCTGATATTTCGTTGTTCATGTATAGAGATGCAACAGAATTCTATATATTAATTTTGTATCCTGCAACTTCACCAAATTCATTGATGAGCTCTAGTAGTTTTTTGGTGGCATCTTTAGGATTTTACATGTATAGTATCATGTCATCTGAAAATAGTGACAGTTTTACCTCTTCCTTCCAATTTGGATTCCTTTTATTTCTTTTTCTTGTCTGATTGTTGTGGTTAGGACTTCCAAAACTATGTTGAATAAAAGTGATGAGAGTGGGCATCCTTGTCTTGTTCCTGATCTTAGAGGAAATGCTTTCAGCTTTTCACCACTGCGTATGAAGTTAGCTGTGGGTTTGTCATATATGGCCTTTATTATGTTGAGGTAAGGTCCCTCTATGCTCAATTTCTGGAGAGTGTTTACCATAAATGGATGTTGAATTTTGTCAAAAGCTTTTTCTGCATCTTTTAAGATGATCATAAGATTTTTATTCTTCAATTTGTTAATGTGACGTTATCACACTGATTGATTTGTGGATATTGAAAAATTCTTGCATCCCTGGGATAAATCCCACTTGATTATGGTGTATAATCTTTTTTAATGTATTGTTGGATTCTGTTTGCTAATATTTTGTTGGGGGTTTTTGCATCTATGTTCATCAGTGATATTGACCTGTAATATTCTTTTTGGGGGATATGTTTGTCTGGTTTTAGTATCAGGGTGATGCTGGCATCATATAACATTCTCTAACACCATATACAGAAAAAGAAACTCAAAATGGATTAAAGACTTAAATGTAAGACCAGAAACTATAAAACCCTAGAGGAAAACAGGCAGAACAATTCTGACATAAATCACAGCAATATTTTTTTTGGATCTGTCTCCTAAAGCAAAGGAAATAAAAGCAAAAACAAACTAATGGGAGCTAATTAAACTTAAAAGCTTTTGCACAGCAAAGGAAACCACTGATAAAACAAAAAGCCTACTGAATGGGATAAAATATTTACAAATTATCTGATCAAAGGGGTTAATATTCAAAATATATAGACAGCTCATACAACTCAACATCAAAAAACCTAATAGCCCAATTAAAAAATGGGCAGAAGATCTGAATAGATATTTTTCTAGAGAGGAAATGCAAATGGCCAACAGGCAAATGAAAACATACTCAACATCGTTAATCATCAGGGAAATGCAAATCAAAACCACAATGAGATATCACCTCACACCTGTCAGAATGGCTATCATCAAAAAGACCGCAAATAACAAATGTTGGCAAGGATGTGGAGAAAAGGGGACCTTTGCACACTGTTGGTAGGAATGTACCTTGGTGCAGCCACCGTGAAAAACAATATGGAGATTTCTCAAAAAACTAAAAATAGAACTACCCTAGGACCAGCAATTCCATTCCTGGGTATTTATCCAGAAAAAACAAAAACACTAACTCAAAAAGATACATGCACCCCAGTGTTCATAGCAGCATTATTTACAATTGCCAAGATATGGCAGTAAACTAAGTGTCCCTCGACAGATAAACGGATAAAAGAAAGTGGTATATACATACAAAGTGATACTACTTAGCCATAAAAAAGAAGGAAATTTTGCCATTTGCAACAGTATGGATAGACTTGGAGGGTATTATGTTAAGTGAAATAAGTCAGACAAAGAAAGACAAATACTTATGACATCATTTACATGTAGAATCTAAAAAATACAACGAACTAGTGAATATAACAAAAAAGAAACAGACTCACAGATATAGAGAACAAACTAGTGGTTACTAGGTGGGTGAGGGAAGGGGGGAGGGGCAAGATGGAGTAGGAGCAAGCTGGAGTAGGGGATTAAAAGGTACAAACTATTACGTATAAAATAAGGTAAAAGATATGTTGTACAACACAGAGGATATAGCCAATATTTTATTATAACTCTAAATGGAGTATAACCTTTAAAAATTGTGAATTGCTATATTGTACACCTGTAATCATATAATTGTGCATCAAATATAACTCAATAAAAAATTATATTAAAAAAGTTAAAAATTAATAAATGTGGTATATACATACAATGAAATACTATTCAGCTTTTAAAAAAGAAGAAAATTCTGCAATATGCAACATGTCAAATGATTAAATAAGATAATATAGGTAATACAAACGAACTTTATTTAACACTTCTTGAAGCAGGCAGGCTCCACCATCAAGAGTGCCGAGAACAGCAAAGT